GACTCTTTGTACTACGAATATAATTTTTTACTACAATCAAATTATATTAGTAAAATGTTATGGATATTAAGAGGCACAACTTGTGTAAAATTTTCAAAAAATCGATTTTTCAATTTTTCCATATTTCGATAGGTTATACCTTAAAAAATAACATACGAAAATTTTAAATGATATCTTAAATAGTTTTTAAGTTACAGCCATTTAAAGAGTATATATTATATAGTATAACGATTATTTAATCTTTAAACGCGTTTTTCTAGAAACAGTATTTTCCGAATTTGCTACAGCGATTACTCAAAAACAAATAATCCGATAACTATCAATTTTTTTTACATATTTACAGTTCTCTGGAAAATGAACTATCTATTTTTTGATCGGATTTTACATATATACAGTTCTCTGGAAAATGAACTATCTATTTTTTGATCGGATCAAAAATCGAATTTTGGCAGTCCAACAACGACCAAAATTTTGGGTAAAATCCGACTTTTTTTAAAAAATGCCGTCATTTTGTCAATTCTTGATTTTTTTTCTTTATCGTAGTTAATTTTACAGACAATATTATCTAGTTTAATGAAAATTTTTATTTTTAAATTTCATCCACGTAAAAGGCCGGAATCACTGCAGCAGCGAAGGGCCTTTTTTTTGTCGCGCCGTTGGGGATCAACGATAACTTAAAAAATATTTAATTTTTTTCTTCAAAAATTTTACTGTGTATTTTTAAAACATGTATAAATATATTCCTTAAATTTTGAAATGATTAAATAGTTTTTTTAATATAAATTCCCAAAAATCACCTTTTTTTAGGCGGTTACACTAGTTAATTCTTAGTTTTACATATCAGTTTTCACATAGATAATCAACTAATGTAAATAAACTAAACCATAATGAATAAAGATGAAAAAAAAGCAACGAAAAAAATTGTTGTAATGAATATTATCAGATTTATTCATAGGTTGCGCGAAATAAACTCGTGCCTGTTGAGCGAGATTAGTGTTATATGGAGTCCGTGTTAACGGAGGAATGTCGGGTTTTTGACTCTGTGTAGTATAGAAACCGTGTTTCAGAGGGCCGTGTTAACGGAGGGTTGATACATACTTGCATATATATATATATATGCAAGTATATATATATATATATATATATATATATATATATTATATATATCGCATCACCATCAGAAATATATTTACAATAATCTCATTATGAAGACAATAGAAAACCACTGCGTTGCCTTATAATGATGACGTGATATGAGGAATAACATTATAATACCTCATAAAAAACATGACAATACGATTATTATTCATGGAATTAAACAAAAAAGTTAGATAGAAATTGTATTAGATCCGAAGAATTTTGTTCTTACACCTTTCTCTGTCCATTACTATTGCTTTACAGGTAGTGAACTTAATTTTATTTCCGTTTTCATCTAAACTTTAAACCGCACGTTCGTGATGCGTGCTAATTTATAGCGATCGACATAATGGTCCTCCCATGGTCCTCCCATGGTCCTCCCATGGTCCTCCCTTACACCTTACACCTGGCACAGTCGAGAGTTTCGCTGTCAGAGTAGCGCGCGATCCGTATCAGAAATCCGTAGGTAAAAGGAATAAATTAAACTCGGATACGCATTCTCTGAAAACCGCTTGTAAATTAAAAGCCCTCGCTCGACGTTGAGTGCGATGGAATACTAATATCTGTGTCACTGTTCGTTCGTATGAATATATTTTATTGGAATCTTCTCATCACACCGATATAAGGAAGAAAGATTATGGAGCTACGGAAATTAAAACGGGATTACCTTGATTGTATTTTATCTCGATGTAAAGGATATTTTTTTATTTTAGTTGGGTAATGGATATTGGGAAAAATAAGTGATGTACTTTTCCTCAAGTACTGCATCTCTGCCAGACAAATTACCTAGTTTAAGAGATCACAAGTATTTTTGCATATAATTCGTTATATAGAGTGGCACATTTAAAAATTGAAATTTATCGATAGCAACTTGCCTGTAGGCCACACCGTGCGGAATTCAAAGTTGCGATATATGAAAAAAAACTAAGAATTTTGAGACCTTTCTAACGATGTACAATACTTTATATGTTTTCTTTACAGAAATATCTAAACCAAAGAATCACTAGATCACTAGGACCACTAAATGGGCCACCCGTTTGTTCATTATCTAACATTTACCAAAACACATTCAAAAATAAACAGATATAAAATGAATCACAATAATGTCAATCACTTCTAACACAATTTGTTCTTATGTATAGTCAGAAACATTTCTTTTTATTAAAAAAAGTAATATTGGATGTGCGGCATATGTTTTCGAATTTAGTTTTCACCGTTGTATACGTTCAATACCAATATTATGTCAACATTAGGGGTCATGTAGCAAAAAATTGAAAAAAAATTATTAAAAAACGACAAAGTCCCCGATCTAGAAATTCTTTTGTATAATAATCAATATCATATAATTTCTGTAGTTTGGCCTGGCCTTTTTTACCTTGAATGACTATTGGGTTTCAATTCTATTTCTATTTCAATTCTACTAATATATTTCGTCCCCATTGCCTACAAACATGTTTGAGCAATTAGCATGTTTGAAAATGTGTTGGTAAAATACTTCTGTACCCCATAAAAAAACTTAATAGGTCTTAATACGTTTAAGTGTATACTCAATAGTCACTGATAGTAATTGATTAAAAAAATACAAGCTTTGATATAGTAATTCCTTTGCATGATAATCAAAATATTATAGTTTCTATCGTTTCTTGGCTCTTTTTACCTTAAATGATTATTGAGTTTCAATTAAGTGATCTATTGAGTATTTTTGTATAATTCAGCAGCAATTTGCAAAAAAATTTTCTCCGCATTGCCCTTGGTAATCTGCAATCATGTTTGCAAATTTATTGTCTAAAAATGTGTTAGCAAAATACTTCTAATCCTATAAAAAAACTTAATTGATCTTCTAAGTGAATACTCAATAGTCACTGATAGTAATTGATTTAAAAAAAATAATTTGATATAGTAGTAATTCCACTGCATAATAGTTAAAATCTTATCATTTCTGTAGTTTCCTGGCCCTTTTTACCTTAAATGACTATTGTGTTTAAATTAAATGATCTATTAAGTTTTTTTGTATAATTCAGTAGTAATTTACAAACATATTTCCTCTCCATTGCCCTTAGTAATCTGCAACCATGTTTGCAAATTGAATGTCTGAAAATGTGTTGGCAAAATAATTTTGTATCTTATAAAAAAACTTAATAGATCATTTAAGTGAATACTCAATAGTCACCGGTAGTAATTGATTTTTTAAAGCGATAAAAGTTTTGATATAGTAATTTTGCTGCATGATAAAAAAATCTTATCATTTCTGTCATTTTCTAGCCCTAGGTTTGAATTAAAGGATCAGTTGAGTTTTTTTTTGTTTAATTCAGCAGTAATTTGCAATCATATTTCTTCTCCCTTACCCCTGGCTTATCTGCAAAAAACACTTAATAGATCACTTAAGGTAGAAAAAGCAGTATTAAATTTGGTAGTTTTTAATTTTTTTTCAATATTTTCCATTGGACCCTCAATTTTGACTTCAGATTCGTGTTCAGCAGTAAAAACTACATGAGAAAACATAAGCATCGCACCCATTACAGACAATTTTTTTTTATTTTGTAGACTTTTTTCCAACACAATTTGAAAACCATTACTTCAATTACACAGGTACAAAGTTGTCTGCATCTAAAGTAAAAATTTGCGATCAAAAGGCAAACAGTGAAGAAATTTAAAAAAAACGAGAAACTCTCTGATCTAGTAATACTTTCGCATGATAATTAAAATCTTATAATTTTTGTGGTTTTCTGGCCGTTTTTACCTTGAATGAAGTAAAAATAGATCACTTTGCTTCCTACATACAAATTGCAATCACAGTACAATATTACTAAATAAATTACCTAATTTCCCTGATGGATACTGCAATTGCAAAACACGTGTATTGGAAAATTATATTTAGCCAAGATGTTTTCAGTCAAATATTAAAGAAGTCTGTGTCTATATTTATCAATAGACGCAGTAAATATTTATATGTACGAGCACATTTGGACTCATACTTAAATTGGAAACGACAAACCGTACAGAAATAATATATGTGATTTATCGTCAAATATCGGCACTGTAGATATTTACATATGGGGTACGTATAAGCGCGATATGTGTACCTATATATTCAACGTTATAAAAATGCCAGAAACGTCGAAAATCTATATACCACATAAAATATTAATATAGCTCCGTATGTTGGCGTTAAAACCTGTACCTATCTTTATATAAATATATGTTTATTCGAACGCACATATCGTTTGAAATCCAAGGTAACTAATATTAAAGGGATTTTGCGGATAAATCACTGTCAGACTCCGATGAAGGTCGCATTCAATTGGTCGCCGGGATTAGATTTTAATATTCGATTTAATCGAAAACCGATGATATGTGGTGGAATTCGTTACGGAAATTAAAATAATTGGAATTTTTGGGATACGATTACATATAGATTGTTTTATAAAAAAGTTACTGAAACGATTGTACTAATTTTCCAAATGAACAACGGATTGACATAGATTTTTATACTACTCTATGCAGTTAAAGCAGTACTATTGCTTTGTTAAAAAGTTCAGAATTTCCAAAATATTTCAAAATAAATTTTTCTTCAAAAAGTCTTATTTCAAAAAAAAGTAAACTTTTGTCAAAAATTTATAGTTTCTCAAAAATCTAATTTTTTCAGAGTAATTTTTTTAAAAAAAATGTTAATGTTTTAAAAAAAATGATAATTTTTGGTACGGAAAGTTCCAGCTATTTGCCTTAAGATACGATGCCATGCGCCCCACTAGTTTTTATTTTTAATAGTGTAAAATCTGATTTTCGAATTAACGCTGTAAGTTGTAGGACCATTTTTGATTACCATTTTTATTAAATCTAGCCACTGACAAAGTACACCTTACCTTGTGATTTTTTCTCGTCTTCTCCAATGGTGGGTGCAACCAGCGTGCTCAGCAGCACGATTGCCAGCAAAGGAGACATGACTGCACTAATGTCCAGGCGGACCACACCTCCTGGAAATTTAATGGTCTCATGTAACTAAGATTGATAAAAGATAGTTATAGGTAGATATAGAACTATTCAACTACAATTTTTAGTCATTCATCGAGATAATGTATAATTGACATTGAGATAATGCTCTATTTTAATTTATAATGCATATTGAGAAGTTTTTGCATTTTGCCTTTTGGCCAAACGCCACTTACGCCTAGTTTAGACATGAACCACGACAGCCAACCGAATATTATACACGATCGGACATTTAGACATGCACAATGATTATGTCATACATATATTTAAACCAAGTATTTAAATCATATATAAATCAAACTAGTAGTATGCTCCACTATAATTATCGGGAGGAGTAATATGTATGTAGTAACTAATTTGCATACATGTTCTCTTGTAAACAGCTACATATTTGCTTTTTGATGTTCCGAAACAATAGCAGAAAATTATATATACAACATTTTCCATTATATCAGATACGAAAATCCATATGCTTATAGTTTTATAATTTACCATACAAGAGCCCAACAATATGAGCGACATGTACAATATGTTTTCTTATGAATATTTCTCTAAATATACAGTTCTTTTTATCTTTGATATCTTTGGCAGACATTCCATCTGCATACGAGATACATTTCTCACGAGATTTGACTTAAAAAAGTGTAGCTTATATGTATAACCCAAGGGCTTATATCACTTATAAACCTCATATGTCGTAGGGGTTGTGCGTTTGGGAACAAACACGCAATCTTTTGAAGGGTAGTTCTTGAACTAGGGTTGATAAAGGTGGCTGTAGAGTGTAGACCATTATTGTTATTTGATGTTTTATGAAAATATATGTAAGGAAAAATATGTCGCATCATTGGGAAGATATGCAAAAATAAAATATTAAACATTCTTCGAATTGAATTTACGTTCCGGGTATGCTTGGTAGGATGTATAGTTTTGATGATTTTTGTATGGAATAAATTTTGTATGATAAAATTTAAACGCAAGTCATTTTCTAGCATATACATAAATAATTACGTGAAGAGATGTAATAATTGTACAATAATAATAAGTAACATTGTACAATATCGATAACAAAATTTCCTATAACTCCCAGTTGAGGCTATCATGCAATTTTTAGGCAAATATTGGATAATTTTAGCCTGTAAATAAGGAATGATTCTGTGTAACTCTTCGTATATATTGTTTGAACATTTTATTGTATTTGTATAACATTACACTACTAATACCTATAATTTTATTTTTATTACTTGTCTACTATAATTGCTTATACATTTGTTTTTGCATTTTGAACTTTTTATAAAAACTTTATTGAGCTTTTGTAGTTCTCAGTTTGAAGTAATGTTACAGGACAAATGGGAATGTAATGTAGAGAAATTCAAAATCAACCCTGTTTTATAAATATGTATTTGCAACACTTAGTGTGAATTTTATTCAGGCATTGCTTAATTGCAATATAGATAGATACTAAGTAAAATAATTATTTTACGTTATGAATTTTTTGTACTTTGATATGATTTTGTGCGCAAATGTGAGCGTAAAGGTAAAGTCTCAAAAACTATTTTGTATACCATTGATGAATCCCTATTTTTTGCAAAACCAGCCCTGATTTATAAACGGATTCATCAGTATGTTTGGGTGTATTTCCTACAAACGTTATCTCAATGCGGTTGGTAATGCAGATATCTTCAAATTGCTACATCACTACGATTTTCGGTGTAGGGGCGTCGTCTTTTCTCCTAATCTCGTCATCTTACTGATTGGCTACGGATTACATGGTAAAACATCATACTGTAAGATGTAACACTTAGATAGTGAAGCACTAAAATTTTCCAGCCCAAACTAATCGAAATTGAGCTCATATTTGTAGTCAAATTGGAGATTTTTTTTGAAACAAGGCAACTTATATTGATGATTTTTACACATTATTTATAGATTGCAAAAAAACCTGAATTGGCATACAATTTATTATTGCAATGGTTATGCTTTTATCTACTAGAACATTAACTTCTATTATTACCCCATCCGACCTTCAACATCAACCGGCCGTTTTGAAACTAAATTTGTAGAGATAAGCTTCTACGGGATTATGTGAACTAGATCAAGTGGGATCCGTATGGTTGTCACCACAACTTTTAAATTTGATTGTCAGACATTCACACATCTGATAAATCTAAATTTACAATTTTGAAATTTTCAGTAAAATTTTAATTTTTCTAGTCAATATATCTAGAAAGTCTATCAAGATCGGGGATAAAAATGTCCTATATTCCCGAGTATTGTGATAATTACTGATTATGTGATCTATTGCCTGAAAAATACTAATACATAACTTTGCATTACGTATAAGATAAAATTCAAAATAAATTAGACTGTATTTAAGACTCACTAAGTTTTATTAATTTTTCTTGAAAAAAATATTCAACCCATCGTCGACAAAGAAATCAATGTAAAAATAAGTCATGGCTGCTAATTTTAACTATCACTACACCGACTACACTTAGATAGACGTAATACACGACTAAGACTATTAAGATAAATCTAATAATTGCTCATGAGCCTAATCAAATTTTCCACGATAGGATATATCGTCAGCCTCACGATGTGGAATTATCGCGATAGAGCCCGTAGTTATCATGTGTGCTATTTAACCATATATTATATTACTACATGTACAAGATGTAATCAAGAACATACCTAGGTCATGATAAGTGATGTTTGATTAATATATATGTGATTATGGGTTCCTTCATGTTGCCAAATGCCGATACAGGTACTTTGTTTGGTAACTACCTATATCCCTTTCTCAGTCCTTATGTATATATATATAGCTACACATATATACATTTAGATATGCATACATACACACTATTATACGAGTTTATCATATAATATTAACAGACATTTTCAAATCTCAAAGTATTTTATTAACTATGGCTAGTATCACCAAAATATATTAAATCTTTATCAGAGAGCAATTGATATTTTAAACCAAGGCGTTTGATGTTAAATAAATTCTAACAAATTTATCATACTGCTCGTATATTACATATTTAAAATAATTACAATTCTTTGAGAGCCAACTGTTAAATATTCCTAAGTCTATTCCCGTGATTGTTTCCCAATTAGTTGAAAGCTAGGTATTTATCATCAACTAACCAGTTTGTGGTCAGTAGTTCTGACAACAACATCACTGCATCTAGTTCGTATTTTGTTTGTCGAAGAAGATAAATCGACACGAGCTCGAAATATCTTAAGTTGAATGAGCGATTGTTGAATAAAACATGACTAGCATGCAAATGACGTACTTATTTCTTTGAGTTCCAAAGATTCGGGCGAGACATCGCATAACACACGCTGATATTAGCGATGGTAAATGTTTGATGTGGTTACTAGATGGATGCTCTAATTTTAGACTTAAGATTCGAGCTTTGAATGTGTGTTTTAGATAATTAATTACACTGATTTGCCTATCTCTACATGTGTAATAGACTTTGTAATAGCGTTAAGTAAAAACTTTAATCTAGTGAATAAGCCATAAAATTTTGAAAGAAAATCTACTAATTACAAAGATGCGATTTTGACTCACACACACTTATACATACATATAAGCAGGCACATAACATTTCTAATTTTGTTGTCAAAAATCGAAGCAAAAATTAAGTCTCACATGGCGTCTCCACCGGATTCTTTCGTATACGAGACTTTCTGGTACATGTGCGTGAAATATTGTCTTTATTTATAACACTAATTGGATGTAAGCCCCCACGTCATTATGTGAAAATATCCTTTTCTCTTTTATCGAAAGAATTAATACGTTTTCCTTTGTTGATACGTCATGTAACAAAGCAGCATGGCAAGGCCGATTAGTCATCGCGTCTTCATACGAAAGAATCCTTCGTTCTTTTTCTTAATTGATGTTCAGACTTTGTGGCTTACGTTGGAGCTTACAGCATCGTAATACGTATTATATTTTCTGAAACCTAAACAACAATGTCGACGAAGACGATAAGGTGTTTCGGATGTATTATTTTTCATTTTGCTCGCTGCTAGTTTTCTCGTCCCATATAGAATGCGATGAACAATAAATCTACGGGATCCGGGTTTACGTCAATTTATTTCCAATCCATCGCGAAACACATGCGATTTGTTCCTAGAGCAACGGAATACGAAAACGCAGCTAAACACACCAATAGAGTACGAGAATAAAATTCAAACATTTTACATTATCCGTAAAGAACGTGTTGGAATTGAAACAGTGCGCAATGTGCTACTTTTCTTCGTTTAAAAACTTTTTGAGTTTAAATCATTCATTAGATACTGTTATTATAAATTACAAATCCAATTAAATTAAAATTCAAAATAACGATATTATATAATTACTTATTATTATACTTATCCGAAAAATTTAATATGATCAACAGTATTAAGCTATCAAAGATTTTTAACATATATTCTCTGCAAATTATTTAGGAAATTGTATATCATTTTATATAATTAATAAAAGTATTATTATTTGCCTAGTTAATATTTTTCATAACAATACGATCCAAAAAATCATTTCCGGAGAACAATTTTATCTGTTGTAAATATTGTTTCAGCGCATAAATACCGTGTATCTAAATACAACAAATGTGTACCAAAAAGAATAAAAGAAATAAATTGATTTCATAAAATATTTGTAGCAATAATCCTATTATAACTACGTCCTGTACAATACAAAAGCGCAAATATATGAACTTATATCTCGTTTGGAAAATCGTGTTTGTAACGGCCGACATTTCATTTCGACCTCATGTTGTATTTACGATTTTCGCGTCGGCTCGGAAAACATAGCAAAAAACTCTACTGATATTTTCTCAACCTGTCTCATTTCTTCGTTGGCCAATTCTTAAGACGGTGCTAACAGATTTATACCAAACTCGACCTCTTCCGAGGTTCAATATACAAGTTACAGTAGTTTTAAACTTTAAACATTCACTCTGTTTAAGTA